GAAAAAATAAAACCTTGTTGCACATCTACAGGCCAAGCGCTTTAATTTGACACCCCAATTTTGAAACTCGAGCGAACGGTGCAGATGTTTTAGGTTGCACAAAAAATACCTTCGCGTATTATATATGATAGATAGATAGAATAGATAGATAATATGAATTTACTTATATTTTCAAACATTTTATTGCCTGTTGCGGTTTTCACTCCGTAAGCAATTATCCAAAATTATTCAAAATCGGATGGAATGGTTCTGAGAAAAGTTATTTCATGGGAAAGTTAAAAGATTAAAATTTATTTGAAGAGAAAAAATCGCCAAAAATTGCCAGTGGCGATTTCTTAAGTTTTTGCAAATATCCAAGAAAAATCGCTAAATTGGCGCGAAATCGCCAAATCTGTACACTCTGACTATAATCGTCTTTTGACTTTGCTTCTTAGAACATTTGTTGTTTGCTTTTGTCTCATGGGGAATATTTAAATAAAAATCACGATGAATAGGTGGAATAAATGGTAGACTCTAATGGTTTGAGCTAAGAATTAATGCAATAAAATTTAGTACGTTTATTGCCCGGCCAATAGATGGCACTAAAATGTCCGAAATAACTTCGATCTCTTTCTCACCAAATAAACACTATATTTAACTATACAAAAATGGGTATAACTTATATTTTCCAAAAATGTCACTTAGACCCTTACGATGCTAGCCCCTTCATTTATTAGTATAATATTCAATAAAAAACTCTCTCAAAGTCAACAAATCGAAACTTAGAAGAGACCTCTCAAGGTAATTTTGGAAAGTGCAAAAAAACCTAGTTTCGCTAAAATTCAAGGTCAAACGCGAGCTTAACGTTAGTAAAAATAATATTTAAGTTGTTCTGTAATAAAAATCTTGAGAAGATGTGTAGTTAAAAGGCCTACATATCGCACATGGTTAAATTATTAAAAGTATTGTCTTCGAAGAGGGCCTTGTTTACAAAGCAACAGTGTTGCCCACTAAAAAATGTACGGCAAGTCAAAGAAAGTTATATTCCTAAACGCCATATACCTATATATTTCTTTAAACAAATCATATTGCAAACATTTTATTTAAATTGTGAAAACGGAAAATACGCGCTTCTTTGGTAAACAGATACAATTTTTTTTTTGTTATTTATTCATTAGTTTTTTTGGGATGAAAATTCCTCACTTGAATGTAATTTATATAAAAATTATTCAGATGAGTTTTTCCAAGAACTTTCGACAACTGCCCTTTTGCACCAACGAATTATCATTAGCATTTTAGCAAATTATCGAACTTGCGCAAAGTTTTGTGCTTCACCAATATGATAAGGAAAAGTCACTCAAATGAGTATTGATAGGTAAAATATCACTCAAAATCAGAGATAAGCGTTGCACCAAAATTAGCGAAAAGATTTTAGCGGATAAGTGATAAGTTATGCAAATTGTCAAAATTTATTTGCATTTCGTTGCACCAAACATTTTTATTTATCATTGTCATCTTTGATTTTGCTAATGTTATAATATGTATAGCTGGCAACACTACATCGGGTAGTGTGCCGAATGTCATAAGGTAAGGACATGATTATTCAATAAACACTACTTGTACGAAAGCTGTAGAACAAGCAACATGAAATAAAACATGGTGTCAGCGTGGGATGTGAGTGCATCAAACTAATATTTCGCAAATTTAAGCAATTTGTGATCTAACACATCATGGATCCAGCATGGATTAAAGTCCCGCAATCAAAGAGCATCCGGGAGAACGTATCGAAATCCGCACATCGATTCGACAGCACCCCAATAAAGTGACCATCACGTGTGAGCATACCGACATCCTTACATTCACACGGGCGCGGCACAGAAAACTACAATCGACCCAGTAATCCCGCACACATTCGTGTTAATCAGCAACCGTCAAATCGTAGGAGCGTGAAAATGTCGAACATTCCAGTACCCTTACCACTTAATCTCGCTGCGGCAAATATAGCAGACGAATGGAAATTTTTCCGAGCAGCCTTTGAAAACTATGAAATTGCAGCAGGGCTAGAGGCTAAGGAGGTTAAACAGAGAACCGCAAATCTATTGGCAGTAATTGGCCCAGCTGGTTTTAAATTATATAACGCGTTGCCGATTACTCCTGAGCAGAAGCTGTCTATCTCGGGTATATTAGATGCGCTGGAGTCAAACATTGTTCCATCGAGAAACATCATCTACGATCGATTCATATTCAATACTGCACAACAGGAACAAGGTGAAACAATCGAGCGTTTCATTCATCGCTTACGGCAACTCACAGCGACTTGCGAATTCGGGGCAATGGAAAACGAGCTCATTAGGGACAAACTAGTATTCAGCATTCGAGATGATCACGTTAGAAAACGATTGCTAGCCACGAAAGATCTAACATTGTCGGAGGCGATAAACATTTGTCAAGTAGCGGAGCAGGCTGACATACAGATGTCAACTATGAAAGACAACTTGCATATGGAAGAGCACGTGAACATAGTGAACAAACATAAATAACAGTATTGTGGAGGTGTGCATGCAAAATACACTAAAGCCAATCGAAATAAATGTCCAGCGTATGGAAGAATATGCAAAAACTGCAACAAGAAAAATCATTTTGCAAAGGTCTGTAAGCAACGACCGAATAGCGAGAGCACCAGCGATGTTCCGAAAACAGAACGACGGCAGCGAAAACGAATTGCGAAAATCGAGGAAGCAGAGACAGACAGCGACAGCGAAGAATGCTTAAACATGATTAATAATATTTGATCGGAAGCGAATAACGAAAAATTGATCTACACTAAGCTTAAATTTTTAGTTAGAAATAAAGAAGTTCAAGTGAAATGCTTTTGTGACACAGAGTCGAGGTGCAACGTAATTGGTTGCCGAGAACTGGAAGCCATTGTCGGTAAGGAGATAAAAATAAAAGAAACAAAAGTGCTTTTACGAGGTTTCGGGGGAAATATAGTACAACCAATTGGGTCAGTTATACTGAAATGCAGAACAGAGAATGACATAAGGAAAATAAAGTTCCAAGTGGTAAAAAATCCGCAAATTCCACTTTTGTCTGCAAACACGTGTAAAGGCTTAAAAATCATTCAAATTAAAGAAACGAACGCAATTGAAACAATGTCGTCGAGTGAATGTATTCTGAATAAGTTTGCTGACGTTTTTGAATGCGATGGTCTCATCGAGGGAGAAGTACATTTAGAGGTGGATCCAAGCGCCAAGCCAGTACAGCAGCAACCACGCAGAATTCCAATCACCGTACGTAATGAATTGCACGACTTGCTACGGGATCTTCAAAAACGGAAAATAATTGAAAAACTCTACAAGCACACACCGTGGACAAGCAACTGTCTTATCGTCAGAAGAAACGGCAAAATCAGGTTATGTATAGACCCGTTCGAGTTAAATAAAGCTCTTAAAAGGTCGCCTTTTCAGATACCAGCCATTGAAGAAATATTGCCCGAACTCAAGGATGCGAAAATATTCACCACATTAGACGCCAAAAATGGATTTTGGCGGCTAAAGCTAGACGAGCCGTCCAGTCATCTAACGACGTTCTGGACACCATTCGGTTGTTTTTGTTGTTGTTGTAGCGGCTACAACAACCCCGCCCAGATCAGTTGGTATCTCAGTCGTTGTCGTCAAGTTCCACTAACGGCAACCCTAGGAAGCGTGCAGCTTCTGTGGGGTTTGTCCACAGGGACAAGGCCGTTAGGGTTGTCGGGTTTTCCTTTTCTTTGATTTTGCTAATGTCGGTCGATATCGATGGTTAAGAATGCCGTTTGGGATTACGCCAGCTCCAGAAATTTACCAAAACCGGCAAGTTGAAATCTTGCAGGGAGTCCCAGGCGTAATAGTGTTAGCTGATGACATTTTGATATTTGGCAGAGGAAAAACGCTCAACGAAGCAATAAAATACAATAATGAGAAACTACGCAATACATTGAAAACATTACAAAAAGCAGAGTTGAAGCTAAATCGCAAGAAAGCAAGAGTGGGGCTAAGACAACTCAGCTACTATGGGCTGACTGGGAAAAAGTGAAAGCCGAAATGCTCAGGCCAGAAAACGTTAAAGAAGTAAAATGTTTGTTGGGCATGTCTACGTACTTAGGAAAATTCTTACCACAACTTTCGAAGGTGTGCGAGCCGCTGAGAAGGCTCACAGAAAAGAACGTTGAATTCCAGTGGGGAAGCGAGCAACAGCATGCATTCGAGAGACTTAAACAGCTCACCACAGCAACGTCAGTGCTTCAATTCTATAACGTCGATGAAGAAGTCCAGATCGAGTGCGATGCTAGTAGTTTCGGTCTCGGAGCTGTCCTTAAGCGGGGTGGGAAACCAGTGATGCATGCGTCGAGAACACTCTCAGCGACAGAACAAATATTTGCACAAATTGAGAAAGAGTGCTTAGCAATCGTATTCGCATGCACTCGTTTTGATCAGTACGTGTGTGGCAAGGCAGGCATCGAAGTCGAAACGGATCATCAACCTCTTGTCAACATTTTCAACAAGCCGGTTGCGCAAGCGACAAAAAGAGTGCAACGCATGATGCTACGCCTATAGCGATACGATATCATACTGGAGTACAAAAAAGGTAAAGAAATGTTCATTGCGGATCTATTATAGCGTAAATGCCTCAAGCACCAGCAAGTGGCCGACACACAAAATGAGCAAGTGTACGCGATACAACAGACAAAACAATTCGATAAAATGTGCATGCAAATTCAAAATATCAATCTCTTAAGTGAAATATCACTGAATGATGATCAGCTAACGAGTATTCGCTCAGAGAGAGCAGGATCCGGAAATTCGCCAGCTAATGGAAACTTGCCAGAAAGGTTGGCCAAATGAAGTCAGCAGTAAGAACGATAATTCAGCGTGACTGGAATATACGCGATGAGATCACAATCTGTGATGGAATATTACTACGCGGTGATAGAATCATCATACCGAGAAACTTAAGAGCACAAACTATTGAGGCCCTACATTATGGACATACGGGAATCGAATCCTGCTGCCTCAACCATAGTGTCAGCTTGCAAACGGATATTTAGTAGGCAGGGAATACCATCGGTAGTCGTAGGGGATTCGGGTACGCAATTCAACAGTAGAGAGTTTCTAAAGTTCGCAAGAAATTGGGGTATGAAAGTAACTTTGTCGTCACCACATCATCATCAAGGAAATGGGAAAGCAGAGTCGGCAGTCAAAATCGTCAAACGTATCTTTCGGCGAGCAGATAAAAGTGGACAAGATCGTTGGCTAGCGCTGTTAGAATGGCGTAACACACCCAACCACATACAGACAAGCCCGCACCTGAGCCTAGGTCTCCGAAGCGAGGCGAGTCAACGACACAAATAAAGTCTCCGTCAACATCCTCGCAAGTAGCAGCTCAAACAAAGTCTCCGTCAACATCCTCGCAAGGAGCACAATCTTCGTTAACATCCTCGCATGGAGCATCGCAGATTGGTATGGCATCCCAACTAGACCTTCCAAAAGGAACCGAAGACTTACCAAAAGAAACCGATGGAGCCAAGACTCCAACAGCACCGGGCAGATATCCAAAAAGAGATCGAAAACCACCAAAACGTTTAGAAGCCTATTGCTGAAATGTATCGTAATTAACAATTTAAGACTTATCTCATTTTCCTATTGAAGAGGGGTTGGGTGTAAATTAAAATGAATTCAAATTCAACTTTAATAGTGTAGTCCTAGGTCGGCTATCTCGCAGCCGAATTTAAAAAATGTTATAAAAAATTGGAGAGGACCTACAATACAACAGTGAGCGTAATAATGGCTTAAGTCCGCTTCAGCAATTATTATCGACTCTGCACTAGATAGGCAATGGTAGCCAATATCATGGAATTGTTCAAATGCATGGGGTCCACAAATTAGCGTTATGTCCATCGAGTGGCAAATGCCCTGATAAACAAACTGATGGATGAAACTATTTGAATTTTGAATTTACGCAAAATATTGCCTCACAATATGTCAACATTTGTGGATTTGCTTAAGTCGCAGGTTGCATTGAAGGAACTATGATAAATGTAGACACCCCTAAGGCTACTGAGCACCAATTTGTTAACCGGTACGGAAATCATTCAATTAATGCAATGTGGTGTTTGTGTTTTTGTTATTGAATTATTTTGGTAAGATCCAAATAAATAATCCTTAAATGTAGAAAAATATACATAGTTATTTATGTGGGGTTCTGGGTCCTTCCGTTCAAATAAAGCAATCTCTTTTTGTTTCAAATTTAGTTTACTTTAAGTTTTATTTAATAGTCTTTAAGTTCTAATTACATATTTATGTTTAATTTGAGGTTTTAGTTGCACACTTTTATTTAGTAGTTTTTAAGTACAAGTACACGTACATTTGCTAGGCTTTACAGTTTCAGTTACACACTTTATTTGTTAGTCTTTAAATTGCAACATTCGTTTTACTTTAAAATTTAGTCTTTAAGTCGCGCAACTACATTCGAATGAGTTTAAAGCTATACAATCTTTAGTTTTAAAAGGTTCTTTAGTTAAATTTAATAAAATTGTACAGCACTTGGTTTAATGACCGAATTTAACAGCGGCACGTCCGTATCGTTTGGTGGTAGCGGTCTTACTTAAAGTTCCGCGTCACTTGTCGTTTTAGCTGTCCTCTCATTCGACTTGGTCCCGTTAGTAATTTCTTCTGTTCTTATTGCTGTCCTTTTGTCTATTCGTTCGTCCGTAGGGTTGCCTGCGTGCAAACATATGTACATATACTTTAGTGTGGTGAACTTAGAACGTTAAGTATTTACCCCACATTTATATAAACATACATATTACAGTCAAGACGGACTTATATTTTTCTTAATAATTTTTAAGACAGCAAATTTATTGGATTTGCTTTGTGTGCGCGAGATAGTAAAAAAAAGAGAAATTGAAAATGTTTATCAAATCGCACATGGGCTTGCTAAGCTTTCGTTTTCCATTGAAACCAAAAAACTTGTCAGTTACTTATAAGTTGGTAAGGTTTTTTTTATAAGTAAGAAGTGCAACACTTACCAACTTTACTTTTCAAAAGAAAGGTTTATCCAAAAGTTGTAAAGTGATAAGTGATAAGTCGTTGGTGCAATTGGGCTCTGATCCAACCATGTCCGCGCAAGTTCGTTGGTCTCCAGCTCATGTACCATGAACACTATTTCGGTTATTTATTGTATTTCGACAGCTGTAAGCCAATAAAAGTCCTTATAAGGAAACTTAAAAGCACAGGATGAAACGTTTTCCCGTACATTGTATAAAGGATTCGTGTGTTCAATGAAGCCATGGATATACATATGTATCTACCATGTTCCTTCTTGGACGGATGTGGTCGAATCTTTCCTTGCCAGTTCGCCACCTTTGCAATTCGTCTTAATTTTTATGAACTGGTGTCTTTGAGTCTTACTGCTGCAATAACATCCGCCTCGAGCAATTTCGTCAATCGGACATAAATGCAAGATCGCATTTAGCGTATATGAGGGCGTCATATGTATAACATAAACATAGGGCCAAAGCGGACCAAACACATGGGTTTTCTATTTTCTACAAAACCATTGTTTATCATGAAATGAATACGCATTATGAATTTCAACCAGATTGTATAATCAGCGGGTATACAACGACAACAATTGCAAACGAATTTTTCATCATACAGGTAGCCCACTTAGCGAATTTGAACGAAACCGGTTAATAAGTACGACTTTTACAAATAACTCAACTCCAGCGCCACCTAGCCAGTTTTCTAGTAGTCTATAATTATAATAGGACCATATGTGAAAGGTATAACCTCAGCCAATTTAACTGAACTCTATCCAGTTTTTGAGTTTAGTCCTAACAACGAAAACAGGTACCATATTAGGTATGTAGATAGGACAGTATACAACGAAACTCATAAAATTAAAACTTTGTGCAAAATTTAAAAAAATTCTTCAAAATTTTCACACAAAATTTTACCAAACATTCAAAACAAAGTAGCAATCGTTCAATGCGATTTAAAAATCTAGGAGAAAATGGTTCCGAATCGAATGATGCTATGTAAGTACGTTATTGGTAACATACATATGTAGCTGTGGCAAATTTCAGGACGTTAGCTAAAGAGATTCCAGAGATAAGCGATGTGAAATGTTCAGCTTGTATGAGAGGTACCCCAATACCAGCCACTTTTCGAAGTAAGTACATTATTGATGACATATGTAGCTGTGTCCAATTTCCGGACGTTAGCTTAAGAAGCTCCAGAGATAAGCGATATGAAAAGTTCAGCTTATATTGTAGGTGCCACGCCCCCTTTTCAAATATTTAGTACATAACATATTGTTACTGTTATTGTTAAATAAAAGCTCAAAATGACCAACTTAATAATAATAATAGATTGACGCTTACACATATGTTAGTGTTTGGCCGAGTTTCTCCTCCGATTTGTGGTGTGCGCCTTGATGTTGTCACACAGAGCGGAGGGACCTACAGTTTTACGCCGACTCCGAACGGCGATTGTATTTTTATGAGAAGCTGTTTTTCATGGCAGAAATACACTCGGAGGTTTGCCACTGCCAGAAAAAACCTTTTTTCAATATTTTTTGCGATGTTGCTTTGACCAGGGTTTGAACGCAGGCGGCCGAAGATGACCAACTTACAGTACAATTAAATTTATTGTACAACAAATACTTTACAATACTTGTTTAGGCAATAACAACAATTTACAATACTTGTTAATGTAATTACAACACTTTACAAGACTTGCTAACACACTTAATCTCTGTTTTACAACTGAACTTGTAGCTTGCTGATTCGCAACTGAACTTGGTGGTCGCTATAGCAGCGCTCTTATTTACCTGCGCCGCTTCACACTCATGGCAACTCTAGAGCGTTGTGACATCCATAATAGAAACATTACAAGATAAAAAGGTGTTCGCACGAGGCGATTTTGCGTTCAACTTTTGCTTTCAACTCATGAAGGGTTGCACGAAAAAATTTGAATGGCTAAATGTTGGCTGGCGACCAACTTTGTTGAAAGCGATTAGTTGAAAGGTCGTTCAACCAAAAGTAGAATGCAAAGATGAACAATGCAAACGTCATTTTATGGCGAATATTTTGATATTTTTAGCGGTTCATTTTTTTTTTTCGTGCAATCCTGCGTGAGTTGAACGCAAAAGTTGCCTGAAAAATCGCCTCGTGCGAAAGCCCTATAAATCCATTCTCTCAATTCGTCGGCCATGATTTTTTTTCTGAAGTTTTCCAGCATTTTAAACTCATATAGAATTGAAAATAAAAAAACTAAATTGTTCACAATTGTTGTTGTTTGAGATTTAAAATGAAAATTTGTGTGAGTTTGAGTTTTGAATTTTTAAATTATATTGTTGGCAAACGTCATACTGCCCCTCAATGGTTTTACCTTGTTATGTTTTTATTATGGTGGCATCTATCGCACATTCTCTTATTCTCTCGCTGTTCGCTATATTCCTTTTCTTGACGTTTTTTGCTGTCGAATATTCTACGCCTTTCGTCGAACATTCTGCCATTTTCTTGTTCGCTTCGCGTTGCCGCAGTATTCGCCACACTGCCCTCCACCTTGGTGTTCCACACTTGGTGCTTCATACGCTGCAAGCCTTTCCAAGTGGACCACCTTCATATTGGTTCTCGGTCTCCCAACGGTCTGCATTCGATACCTTTCATTCGATACGTAGTTTCATTCACTGCTGACCGGTATCCCATCTGTAACAGAAGTATGTGGACATCCCAAATTTTCTTTCAGGGCTCGGTTGAACCCTGTCACCATGCCGTCTGATTGGGGATGAAGAGCGATTGTTCGAGTTTTCCGGATACCCAGTATCTGGCACATCTCCTGGAACACCGCCGATTCAAAATTTCTTCCCTGGTTAGAGTTCAGCTCTATAGGTACACCGTATCTTGCAATAAAATTGTAGGTCAAAACCTCCGCTACTGTTTTAGCTTCCTGGTTTGGAATCGTGTATATCTTCGGCCATTAGCTTAAGTAGTCCATAACCAAAGGGACGTATTTGTTTCTTTGCTCATAGGAAATGGACCGGCTACATCCATGGCAATCCGTTAAAATGGTACGCCCGGGTTATACTGCTTCATCTGGCCATGACGTCTGGATTTCGGCCTTTAGCTGCAATACACTCCGCGCAGTTAACAATCTATTCTGGGATCGATCGCCGACAATCGCCAATTTTTTTTTTTAATAAAATTAATGAAATCGGTTTAACGAATCTTTTATTTTAAAAATAAGATCTTGTTATAATATAGTTTTTAAATCCAAAATCGAATATAACACCTTCAGAGGGTAATAAAACAACACTTATATAATAGTGATGTACAAACAATTTTCTTTAAAAATACGCATATTTTTTTTAAATATTTGTTTCTTCACATTTTGCAATAGGACTGCGCAATTATTAAATTTATTATAACTCATATTATTTGATTAATCGCACAATCCGGTTTTAAGAGCTCGGCGCTAAAAATTAAATAAAAACCTATAATGAGCCGAGATCAGCTATTTCCACAATTTCTTCAAAATCACCTATAGTGTCTGAATCATTTACACACTGCTTGATATTGGAAACGTTTTGCAGCAG